ATGGGAGCAGCCCATCCATGCTCACTATCTAGCCTTTATAGACAACTAATGCTGAGAGAAGTTAAGTCACATGACTAAAGGCAACAGTAGTACCCAAATTGATTTCAGAAGTGTCTGGTGCTCTTGAATTTGTGATCTCTTAACTTACCCAAGCATCCTCTCAGAGATATCTGGCCAAGTCAGACTCCCAGTTCCAGGCCCAGGCACTCTACACATAGCACCACATCCTTATAGGGAAGTATCATGGTCCTTGTAAGTGAATGGAGCAGATAATTAAATAAAAAAGTTGTCGCCTATGTCTAAGAGACAAAGCTCAAAGGGAAACCCAAGCTTGCTTCCTGGATTAGATAGTGTCGTCCATCAGTCAGAGGGGAAGGCACATATACTGTCCTCTAGGACTGTTGCATCTGTTTGAGGAGGCAAGACTCAATCTACACAGATGCCATCAGGCAAGGCACAGTCAAGCATATGATGGTGCATGCAGATCTTGATCACTGAGATGACAGAGAGTATCATGGTAGAAAGCTAAAGAGAGGAGGCAAGCATGAGGTCAGGAACAGGCATATTGGATAGACACAGAACATCATGGCTGAAAAAGTAGGTATGTATCACCTTTTGTGAACAGTCTAACTGAAATATATTGATGCCTGGAATGTCATCCAGAGAAGCTTTCTGATGTCCAGTCTGAGTTCAGTGGGCAAGGGTGTTGATATCTCTTGTTGATGTCTGTCCTGGGTGTGGAACTGAGAAGGTGGTGCGATAGCTACCAATTTGATTATATTTGCACACCTGAGGGTTTTGGCCTTACCCTGAGATCAACAAAGAAGTATGAAAGTCTTCTGAATGAGTGAGTGGAAGCAGTGTCATAAAGAAGTTGGTAATCTATACCATTCATCTGAGTAGGGACAGAATAAATTAAGAGGGAGGCTCTGAACAAAGAGGACTCAAAAGAGACAGCTAAAATTGGCTGACTGTATAGAGATAAGGTCCAGATGGAGGCTGTAGTCATAAGCATGAAAAATAGATGTCAAGTTATAGGGTCTTTCAAAGAAAGAAACACTACGATTCAGCAACTGAGTACAGAAAGAGAAGCAGGCCAGAAGTTGTAAACACTGAGGCCTGGATTCATACCAAGAGAAGGGAACAATGAGAAGTGGGGAAAGGAAAGGAAATGGAGAATTGAGCGAAGATGAGGAAAGGGCCTGTGCTAAGAGCTGGTTTAAGGGAGAGAAGAAAGGGTTTAGTTTTAAATATGTTACCTTTGGGGTGAATTTGGAGACCCACAAGACCATACCAAAAGAAGGCAAGGCCTGAGAACCACCCCAGCTCCCACTCTGCACCCTCACAGGCACCCACTTCACATGCTCAGTTCTTCACCATGGCAGTGAGTGATCTACAGGTTGGGCCTATGTCATTCTGGCCAGGGAGAGATTAGAGAAGAGAATTTTGGGCTAGTTTCTTTGACTCTCTTTCACTGCTCCATAGAGAGCACCTGAATTCACTTCCTCTCAGGCCACAGTTTGTGAAAGAGGAATGAAGCAGATGTGAAAGCATAAGGCTCTGCCAGCCTACACACCTTTCACACTCACTGACAAGGAAGCCTCATAGCTACCTCCAGAGAGCTGTTTGACAGCTATAAGCTGACCAGAGTCAACTCCAAAGTCTCTGAAATGCTTTAACATGAGGATCCAGAGGCAGGCAGAGGAGCTGCCTCACAGCCTACTAGGCAACATTAAAGCCAAAAAGGATGAGAAGGTGTGGCAAAACTGGCATTGCAGAGATTCACCAGAGTTCTCCACCATACTCCCCACTGAACAGTGCTTCCTCCCCTGCAGCAGACACATGGGACACTTTTAACAGAAGGATTAGAAAAGGAGCAGGCACTATGCCAGGGAACGCTACAAAACCTGGCCTTGGGAGTAGCGAGAGCTCAGCTCTTGGTGGGAACATCCTGGTCAGCAGGACAGTGCCTCAAGCTGCTTGCTGCTTTCTGCTTTCTGCTTCCTGCCAGGTGGCATGTACTCAAACCTTTCCCACCCTACACCTGTAGACCCCATTTCTGATCCACCCAAATATTTTGGGCTAGAGGGAGGCCTTATATTGAGGGAGGCCTTATCTAGGCCTCCCTCAGCACTTAGAGGGGGAGGGGTGGATGCACAAAGCATAGTTGTTACTAACTGGGTTTTAGGGTCCAAGGACCCAATTTGAGTCTTGGTTACATTTACTTAACCAGGCAGAGTGGTTGGCCCATAACTTCATAAGAGGCATAGTAGTATAACACCATTTTATAAGCAAGAAATTAAGGTCCAGAAAAGTCAATGGATTGGCCCAGGTCATACAGAGTTGAGTGGTAAGTGACAGAGCCAGGATAAGAGCCTATGCTCTTAACAATGATAGATATTTTATGAACAAATAGCTCAAACTCCCCCTTAATGGCAAATCTAAAAGTGGAATAATAAATGTGTTTTCGTGAGAAATTTTTAAAAGCATAATAAAAATGAAAATTAAAAGCAAAAATGTACCTAACAAAAATTTAGAAAAATTGTAATTGAAGGCAGTATAATTTCTGTGGCAAGAAATTTTGGAGATATTATGAGATATCTATTGAATTTATTCTTTTTTGTTTTAGGAAAATGTTTTTATTACCATACTCTTGGAAATAATTTCAAAGCATGATAAAAATTATTTCACTGTGTGCAGAATTTTGCAACCACAAGAGCTAAGATGATTCCTTTGTTATTGATCTCTATAAATAAAATTACTGGTTTCTTAATTATTGGAAACGTTAACTGATTTAAAATCATGAATAGTTGGAAATGTCACTGCACTCTGAACTTGGAAAATGATAGATCAAAGTAAATGTCATTGCTGTAGAAGACTGGACTCAGTCACTAATATTGCTCACCCTGTTTCCTGAGTTAATTTAACATTTTGCAAGATATGATAATAAGCACTAAGATCCACGACAATGAACCAGAAGCTTGCAAAATTCTGGAGCAATCATGAAATTCAGTGTGTATTCAGTCCAGTCAGTTTCCACATTATAATATTTTATCAGGGCATGACTCTTTGGGTAGGAACTTTCTGAGAGGTCAAAGGGCTCACTACCCAAATGGAGACAGGCTGAGCAGTCACCTTGCATGACAGTTTCAGGGTCATAGTGAGATTTATCTGGACAGCCAGATGCTAGCACTGTCACTGCCTGATGGCAGAGGCCAAATAAGACCAGGTTCTCAGCTGCAAAAATGCACATTCTGCTTTGTAATCCTCTAGTTAAAAAGTCCTATCAGTGGAGTCCAGAATTAAGCTATGTGCCATGTCCCTGCCCAAAAGACAAAGCAGACCTGTCCCTCCCCCAGCTTGGTGTCTTGTCTATAGCACTCAGTGATCACTGGCGCCTCACTCTGGGGCTTACTTGGTCTTCACCCTCACCCAATGATTGTGAAAATTTATCAAAGGTTCAGGATTCCAACTGTAGTAACTAGAGCTACTACTTATTTAAATGAAGTATTTATGGTTTTTTGAGACATCTTAGCCATATAGTTACATCTAAGTTTCCTTAAATAGGATGTTGGGTCTGGAATTTTTAATTTTACAGTTTATGCACATCATTTTCTAAGATGGGTCTCAGTGATACCAAGACCTTGGATTGAGTCTTTCACCCCTAAAATGAACTTGCATATTCTATGAGAACAGGAACCACACCATGTACTTACTTAATCAATTCTGATTCAAGGATGTATTATTTAAACCAAGACCTAAAAGATAGCTGAAGACAACCAGGCAAAAGATGAGGGAAGCATATTCCAGGTAGAGGGAACATCTGAGAAAAAGCATCGAGGAGCATGGGAGGGAGAACAGTTAAAGATCTAAAAGCAGGCCCAGGTGACCAGAGCAAGAAGTGGGATGAAGCAGGAGATAGGCAAGGCAGACCACACCTGGTCTGAGGTGTCAGGGAGGGTCTTGGCCTTTATCCTATGTGCCATTGGGAGCCAAACATGAAGGGTGAGTGACATGGGCCAATTTTCAGTTTTAACAGATTACTCCCACTGTAAGTGAGAATGGAAAGTAGGGGCAGGAGTAGAGGCAAAAGTTCAGGTTAGAAGCCAGAGCAGTGTCCATGGAAAAAATGTGGTGGTAAAGATATCTCACATGTATAAACCTTCTTTCTCAATGCTTTACACAGAAAATGCACATGCATATAGATTTATTGCAAATGGAGCAAATAAAATAATTCTACTGGCTGCTTTTCTTCATGATGACTGACTATCTCAACAGCCTATGATTCTTTTTTCCCTTTGGTAAGACAATTCTGAGCTTTTCTTTCCATTTTTAACATAACAGTGACTGGGTGTTTCATGGAGCAAAATAAAAACCTTGAGATATGCTACAGAAATGATTTCGAGACATAAAAATATTTTTGACTAATAGTTTTGGTATTTTCCAAGTTTTCCCCTGCTCCACCCCTAATTTCCAGGTGGGTGGTATTAAGAAAGCAGAGATCTCTCTGATGGATGAAGTGAAGGTCATTGTGGGGAGGAAAAGCCTCCGTGTTCTGGAGTGGGTGTGGGGTGGGGAACAGAGCAGAAACTGCAGTGAGCATCATCAATTCACCCAACCCCCACGCTGGGGAGACAAAGGGTCCTTTGCAGAGCAAAGGTTCTGGCCCACCTCCTCTAAGGGAGTCTGGGTGTTCCTGGCCTGCCCAACCAACAGAATATATCTCCAGTCTTATCCTTTCTTTCCCAATTCCCGCAATGGCAACCACGGATGGAGGATTTCTTCCCTTCTCTAGTGCAGACCTAAAAGGATCAACGTCCCCAGACTCCAGACCCCAACCATCAGAACAAGGCATCACAGGGTGAAGAGAGTGTAGACCTTACTCCCTCCACCATCCCTCCCATTATGTGAAAGAACGCACAAAAATTTCCAAATCACTGCTCTCTCTCCCCCCTCCTCCCCCTGACCTAGCGTACAACCTCCGGGCCTTGGCGACTTACCGCTGGGGCAGGGAGTGTCGCAGGACAGTGCCTGAGTCTGGTCAGGAGCCGCTCCCCGGACCGAGCTGCTCGGTCAGCACCACAGCCAGATCCCACTTTTGAGTCTAGTGTGGTTCTCACGACTCGCTGGACTCGGCTGGGCAGCTCCAGCCGCAACCAGCTGGGGAAGATTAGTCCGCGAGAGGGCGGGCTTCTGCCGAGAATGCAGCGGTGGGAGGTGCCATTGCTCAGCAGTGGGAGAAGTGAAGCTCGCGGGGCTGGAATGGAAGCTGCAGTCTCGGTGCCCCACTGCCGCCGTCCCCATTGGATCTCGCTTTGTTTTTGTTTCTCCGTGTCTCTGCCTCTGCCTACCCGCAGGGATGTAGTTTTGCATTCCTTAGGCCCAGCTGCCTGTTCTGCTAGAAGGGACATCAGCCCAGTTGCCTCATTCCTGCGCCGGGCCTGACGTCCTCAGAGCTCATAAATGTAGTTGTCCTTACCCTCACAGCCCCTAGCATACAGGAAGATTTAACACCAACCTTCTCGGAAGGCCGCGGTCACACAATGCCTAGTCATGAGTTCTACCCAGGATTCGGAGACGGTTCAGGCCAATCTCAGGACGCAGGGCAGTCTTCCAGAACCTTCTATACAGACTGTCTTTCTTGGGCCCAATTATATTATTATTGGGGAGGAAGGAGGCGCTTCCCTTACAGGTACTCACTGTATGGGCTGTGCTGGGGCTACACCCTGCCGCAGTCTTGGGGAAGAAATGTAGGACTCTCTCCCTGAAAAGCTGAGGACAGAGGGTCTACAGAACGCTGGGAGGCAGGAATAAAGTATGGATTAGTAACTCTAGAATGGCTCAGGAAGCAATGCCAAGAGCACAGTGTGTGGGAGTTAGGGGGAGCCAGAGTGCACAGCTGGTGCTGGTGAGATGGCTGATCCTAAAGGTTGGGGTAAGTGAGGTGAGGGGACTTGATCCCACATCACAGAAGTTGAGCACTGGCAATGAGCTATGAGAGGAAAGAAGGCGGGATCACCCAGTCCAGGCTTGGGCTGAAAGAAGCCCAAAGCAGGTTCAGACTCAGACAAATGACAAAGGCCATGCCTTTCTTTGAACCTAATGGGCTTCCGCCCTGTCCCCATCTAAAAAACCTGGATACATAGGTTGTACCACCTTGGCTTGGACTGGCTTTGTCATAACACATCTACCTTCTTTATAAATTAAGTCATCTTAAAGTGGCTCTGCTGCAGGTCTCTCTTCCAGCAAGCATCATCCACGGTGAGCACACCTTCTTGCACTTCTTTTAGTTGAACCGTTTTTCTACCTGATGACTGACTCAGTGTGACCTCAGATGTCCTCTCCCCGCCTCCATGTTGGTGTAGTCCTGACTTTTCCAGGCAGTTTCTGACCATCAGATTTCCCTAAATCAATTCTTCTGCTGTTAGGTAGAAACAAAGGTAGACTTATTCCTCATTGCTGCATACATCCTGAATCAAGGACAGAATCCCACAGATTCCACAGTCCTTGCTAGTTAAAGTTAATAAACAACCTCTCCTAGAGAGGTTCCCCCTCTTCTGGATTATAAGGATTTTTTATATTTCTTAAATTTTTCTCTGTTTGAGGATAGTATGGGCTCAACTTCTCCCAATTAGTGATAATTGTTTTTTCTGTGCTCATCTTGCCACCCTTTGGCCAGTGACCACTATTCTAAGCAACCTACTTTGTCTTTTCAGAGATTTTAAAACCTCCTTACAAAACAAAAGTTATATATATCTAACTTTCCAAGGACTAATATTTCCAAGTTCAGGTACACTGAATGATTTTTTCATTAATATTGTTCTAATGTAAATTTAACTTTATGTTCCTTTTATAATACCCTGACATCCTGTTATCTTTTCCTTTCCTGGCATAGACCCTTAGGGTTTTCAGAACTTGCTTCTTGATCACTTGACACTGAATTGTACACTGAGGATCTCAGACTTTATGGCCAAATCCGTTGCTTTCCTGACAGACCCAAAGAATTTCACTTGATGATGAGCACAAATGTGGCAACAGCTGATCCAGTAGGCTGCACCAGTGGGGTTACAATCCAGGTTTGTAGACTGAGAAAACAAAGTTCCTTGTGGACTGAGAGGACTGGGGGGTTAGGGCACTGGACCTCATACCTCTAAGAAAGGCTGGCAGGACTGGGACTGTCTACTAGGAGAAGCACAGGCCTCACAGGGGGTGAGGGGAGCACAATTTGGAGAAGATAACTGGATTAGGAGGAGGAACAATGGCTCCAAGGATGGTCATGGCCAGAGACACTGTAGTACTCAGATTGATTCCCCTGCAGAAAGATGTCTTCCCCAATCTTAAACAAACTAGTATTAAGGGATACTGTCAGATGAAGTAGTCCATTGTTATGACTGGGTGGTTTCTTGTTCTTGTATTTTATTTATTTATTTTATTTTTTATTTAAATATAGCTGGTTATACTATTATATTGGTTATATTTGTTTTAGGTGTACAATATAGTGATTCAACATTTTTATACCTTACCTCATTATTTCTAGTAATTATCTGTTACCATGCAAACTTACCACAATATTATTGACTATTCCCCTTCACCTTTTTCATCCATCCCCCATTCCCTTCTTCTCTGGCAAGCATCACTTTGGTCTTTGTTTCTAGGAGTGTGTTTTTGTTTTGTTTGTTCATTTGTTTTGTTTTTGTACTTTCCACATATAAGTGAAACAACATAGTATTTGTCTTACTCTGTCTGACTTATTTCACTAAGCATAATTCCCTGTAGGTCCATTTAGGTTGTCACAAATGGCAATATTGTGTTTTCTTTTATTGTTAGGTAATATTTTATTGTATATATAGAGTGGGTCAAAAGTAGGTTTACAGTTGTTTGTATGGAAAATAATACAATCTATACTAATAAAATGATAATATGCTAATTAGACCGGGAGACCTTCCGAAGACCTTCCGCACATCCTTCCGGACAAAGCCGGGGCTTGGCCAGCCTGCAAACCACCCCCAGGCCCTTGCCCAGGCCACCCCACTCCCCGGCCCAGGCCACCCTCCCCCAGCAGGGACCCCCACTCCATTAGGGGGCTGGCCAGCCTGCAAACTGCCCCAGGCCCCTCGCCCAGGCCGCCTGCTCCCCAGAGGAGACCCCCACCTTAATGGGGGTGTGTCCAGCCTGCAAACAGCCCTCAACCCCTCACCCAGGCTGGACCCACCCCTAGCAGAGACCCCCCCATCCCAATGGGGGCTTGGCTGGCCTATAAACCACCTCAGCCCCTCACCCAGGCCAGCACTGGCCCCAGTGGTGACCCCCACCCCAATGGGAGTGTGGCCAGCTTGCAAACCACCCCAGGCCCCTTGCCTAGGCCAGCCCTACCCCCCAAGGGGACCCCCACCCTGATCCAGGACCCCCTTCAGGGCAGACCAGCCGGACCCCACCCATACACCAGGCCTCTATCTATACTAATAAAAGGGTAACATGCTAATCAGACCAGACATCCTTCCAGACAAAGCCATGATGGTGGGGCCAAGGCAGAGGCAGTTAGGGGTGATCAGGCTGGTAGGGGAGAGAAGTTAGGAGGATCTGGGCAGTTGGACATCTCCCGAGGGGTCCCAGATTAGAGAGGGTGCAGGCCGGGCTGAGGGACACCCCCTTCCCGTGCATGAATTTCGTGCACCAGGCCTCTAGTCTATATATATTAAAGCCCAGTGACTGAATGGCGGAACAACCAAAACGACTGGTTGAACAGTCGCTATGATGCGCACTGACCACCAAGGGGCAGACACTCAATGCAGGAGCTGCCCCCTGGTGGTCAGTGCGCTCCCACAGTGGGAACACAGCTCGGCTGACCAGAATGAGTAGCACTCCCACAGCTGCCAATCCCCACAAGCCACGCCCCCACCAGTGCACGAATCCGTGCACTGGGCCTCTCGTAATTAATAACTAATAATACAAGAATAAACTGTATTTCACATATTTACAACAATAAACCTACTTTTTCCCCATTCTGTATGTACCACATCTTCTGTATCTGTTTATCAATGGACATCTAGATTGCTTTCATATCTTGGCTATTGTAAGTAATATTGCAATGAACATAGGGGTGCATATATATTTTAAATTAGTGCTTTTATTTTCTTTAGATAAATACCCAGAAGGGGAATGCTGGTTCATATAGTAGATATATTTTTAGTCTTTTGAGGAATCTCCATACTGTTTTCCATAGTGGGTGCACCAATTTGCAATCCCACCAGCAGTAAACAAGCATTCCTTTTTCTTCACATCCTTACCAACACGTTATTTGTTGACTTTTTTATAATAGCCATTCTGACTGGGTGAGATTATATATAATTGTGGTTTTGATTTGCATGACTCTGATGATTAGTGATGTTGAGCACTTTTTCATATCTCTGTTGGCTATCTGTGTCCTCTTTGGAAAAATATCTCATCATATTCTCTGGCCATTTTTGATTGGATTTTTTATTTTTTTGTTATTGAGTTGCATGAGTTCCTTATATATTTTGGATATCAACCCCTTGTTATTTGTGAATATATTTTCTCATTCAGTAAGTTGTCTTTCTGTTTTGTTGATGGTTTCCTTCGATGTACAGAACTATTTAGTTTTATGAAGTTCCATTTGTTTATTTTTGCTTATGTTTCATTTGCACCAGGGGACATAGCTAAAAGAGTATTACTAAGACTGATTGGTGTCAGACAGTTTGCTATCTATGTTTTCTTCTAGGAGTTTTATGGTTTCAGGTCTTACAGTTAAGTCTTTAATCTATTTTGAATTTATTTTTGTATATGGTGTAAGAGAGTGGTACAATTTCATTTTTCCCATATAATTGTTTAGTTTAATCAACACCACATGTTGAAGAGATTGTCTTTTCTTGATTGTATATTCTTGACTTCTTTGTTGTAGGTTAATTGACCATATAAGTGAAGGTTTATTTCTGGGCTTTATTCTATTCCATTTATCTATTTGTCTGTTTTAGTGTGAGTACCACACTGTTTTAATTATGATAGCTTTACAGCATAGTTTGAAATCAGGAAGTGTTATACCTCCCATCTTGTTCTTTCTCAAGTTTTCTTTGGCTATTTGTAGTTCTATATACATTTTAGGATTTCTTGTCCTAGTTCTGAGAAGAATGTCACTCATAATTTAAAAAACAACAACACTTTTTATCCTCATGTGAGGATATGCTTATTAATTTCAGAGAGAGAAGAGAGAAGAGAGGAGAGAGAGAGAGAGAGAGAGAGAGAGAGAGAGAGAGAGA